TGAACTATAGTGTCCTGCACCCACTAGTAAAAAAAATATAAAAAATTATATCTGGTTTCTGAATCATTTTTGGTTTCACTGTTTTCACTTCGGTTATTTTCACACTTAATTATGCCTATTAAAATGTATTTTACAAGTTTTCGTTACTTTCACTGTTAATTTTTTTGCTCTGTGGTACATCATCTTTAATTTAATAGCATTAGAGAAGCGGCTTAGTACCCTCCCCGTAATAATGGAGGGAACCACTCGTTATAAATCTCCTAACTGTGATATTTTCAGAAATAGAAGCCGCGTTTTTTCATCTGAAACGTGCTGCGATTTCTATTCCAAAGCCACTCATATAATGCCGAAACACTCAAGCAAGCAAAACACGTGCAACGCATGCAGGTATTTGTACTGATGCAGAATAGTACAGCCTAGCGCATTTCACAAAGGCTGCTAGATTCACTTTTGCCAGAAAGTCGTGTATGCCTAAGGTTGAAAATTAATAATGTTTATAGTGAATGCCCCTATGCAGGGGCGTCAGACTGGGGGTAAAACCAGTACTGATTACCAGGGCCCCAAAGGAAGAGAGGGCCCTTGAAAAGTATGGAATATATTTTATTTTACCTGGATATTTTCATTTCTTAATTAAATTTCATGATGAATGTCAGATGAAACGTAAATTTTGTGTATTGGCTGAATAACTTGGTTGATTGACTGACGGTTTCATGATCCCACCCCCCTTGCTAATGCACCAAATGACTGCCTATGCACAGGGCCCGGGATCTTGTGCAACGCCCCTGCCCCTATGAATGGTTTTATTTTTACGATTTCGTTTTAATCCAAATGATGCGTGTGCTAAGTGAGTGAACATCTAAGATCACACAACAGAATACTGAATGTTTAACGTTATATTCATTGCATACATATACTTCGTAGTAGACATCCTTAACGCCTTTCTGCTGTCTGTTGTTCTGTTGTCGGTGTTTCTTTGTCTGAATATGGTGCTTATCACATGCTTTGTGGTATCGGCGTTTGGTATCGGGGCATTTTAACGAGTACGAGTACGAGTACAGGAGACCAGTATCGGGCCCTAATTTTAAGTGCTTCACTGTAACCAAGATTTAAAAATTTTGAAAATTTGTGTGGTAATATTTTGCCACAAGTGATGTTGATTTGACTTGTACTGAAACTAAAATATTCTTTATTCAAAATAAAAGAATTCAAACATTTAAACCGGGCTTAGGCATCTGGGGTATATAAATGTTTTCAAATAGCAGGAGATGCAAGAGCCCACTGAACCGAACGATCAAGTGTGATACGAGCTTCAGAAAGTGCCGTCAGTGCATGTGTCATACCTTGGTGTGAAGATGGAGTTGTGCAGGAAGTTCTCGAAGACTTTTCGGTAAGATCGGTCTTCAGCTTCCGCCTTTAGGTCCTCCTTGGTTTTTGGGCAGGGGCAGCAGCCCTTCTCACCCCCACCAACATCTGATTTGGTGGGCTTTGTTTCACCCTCCATGTCCGACAAAGCCGTGGCTGAGATGCGGATGGGAATTTTTAGCTCTGTAGTCAAAAACAATGACACAGACTGAGTTGATCATGCAACAATAACACAAGCTTCACACGTTTTGTAAATATAGTTATTGTACGGTTCTCTGGAATACCTGACTCTGATAATAATCCTCCCAGGCACATGATTTTCAACATAGCTGTACTAGTTTTTGATCTCTCGTATCACTACTCTTTCTTCTAACATAATAATTTCAACTGAAATTAATCATTCAAATCTCTTTATTTATTTGGCTAGTAGCCATCTGGTAACAGGGATACATGTACACTCACTATACATCAAATTTCACTTCATATATTGATGGCTAAATTTCTAAAATAATGCTGAAAGGAGGCAGAAGGTTGACGGTTAGTGGTGGTGATGAGGATTGACTACGCAAAAGGGCACTTCAATGGTGCACACTTACCTTTAGAGCAGTAGTTATGCTGGTAAAGTTCACGGTCTTCTGCCTGCTGCTGCCAACGGAGCAGGTAGAAGGTTTTGTTTCCGTTGGGAAAGATGGGAGGAGACCACTTCGCCATCAGGGATGAGGAGGAGTTGGCATATGCACGGGCATCGAGGGGCATTGACGGCGCTGTGGAATTGCAAGATATTAGTTGCTGTAATAAGTCAAATTGTAGACTGGATACTGGATATTGGAGGGACAGTGGTGAAGCCAACCTGATGCATTAGTGCGGATATAGACCACCTCACTCTTAGCCCCCAGAATGTGCTTGTCCACTACAACCAGGGTGACAGCTTTCACAAAGATGGCATATTGTGTCCAGGGTTTAAGAGGGGACAGCAATACCCCTGGGTCTGCCGATTTCTCCTGAGGAAGGTCTACATCCACCATGTTCCAGCTATTAGAGCCACATCCATCTTGTCCATCGAATTCTGTGATGTTCTGGAATGGTCTATATTCAGACAACAACGCAAAAAAAAAACATTTATATAATGCTTTAACTCTGAAGCCGCTAATAAACTCAATGTGAATAATGCGTCTATAATAGTAACTTCTAGCAGGCTGATACTTACGCCTCCTTGTAATACACGATGAAGCTGATGAGGTCTCTGTAGTCAGGCGGTCGATATCGCTCCCAAGTGAGCTTTATCCGAGTACTCTGTGTGTGGTTGGATTTGAACTTCAGAATATAACTCTCACCTAGAAGAGGGGTCATAAGAGAGATTTAACTAAAAGCACCCATAAGAGTTCTTCAACTTGAATGTAAGACTGTGCCATGGCCTTTCCATCTTTCATGAGCTTCTAGGAATCAGAGTGGTATTAGAAAAGGCACTTCTGTTAATGCCTCACCAGTCTAGAGTCAGAGCAATTATGTTCTGCGGAAAAAATACGACTACATTGGTTAAGCCATTATCATCGGTCTTCAAAGCAAATTCGCTCTATGCAGAAATCTGTCAAACGCATAATAGAGCAGGTACAGACTGGGACACCTTGTGAGCAAAATGCATTTTAAGAGTCTTGAGTGATGTCTTTGTAGAGAGATAATGTTATCGTCTACCAACCGTTTTCACTTACAAATGCCACTGCATCATATAACAAAATATCAAACCATTTATTTACAAGAAAAAGTGTACAAGCACACTTTCACTGTTTAAAACCTTTTATAAACATAAGTTAAGATTGCAAACTATAAAATGATAGATATACTGTTCAAAATGTATATATGACACTTTCTGAGAACTGACTCTGTACATCTATTAAAAATGATCTAGACACCAGTAAATGCAAAATGTCTCAGTTTTAAGTTACTTCTGAGAAAATCTCCAGCACTTTGTATTGGCTTGATATTTTGTTTCTAATGCAATATATTTTAAGTGTCAAAAAACGTCAATTTAAAAACCATATTAAATTGGAATAATTATACTGATACAATATTATACTGGTATATTTTTGATGTTTTTTGATAGATTATTTTATAAGATTATTTTTTTCATTTACAGATAGATTTAATTTATAGCTGAATGTGAAATTGAAATGAGTCTAAATTACGATTCGATTATTTTTTTATTATATTATTAATAACAAAACTCTTTTTGCAAATGTACACTAAACAGTTCTCAGACCTAACTGGAAGTAGAAATGGTGCAATGATTAAATGTTGACTCAGTAACTGCTCTGACAGAAACACTGAAACAGGGTTTCTGCGGGATTTTTAAGCTCAAATTTAAGACTTTTTAAGACCTGCACAAATAAAATGAATACCATATGAATGGGGTAGGGCAATGTCTATAGTAACGTATTGAACTGTAAAATGACTGTGAAAAGCATGATTAACAGTTCAGATACATGTTTTCACAAAAACTAAATGTTTTATAAAATGACACACTTCACATTTCAGCCTTTAAACCATTTTTAATAAAATGGATAAGTCAAAAGTATTAATTATTATATTAATTTAAACAATTATTATCAATAAATTATTATATTAATTAAATAACATATAAATACATTTTACTGTTTAGATTTTTATAATGCATTATCTTCTTATCGATCCACCAGTTCACATTTACAGCTGTGTGTGTTTGCAGGGTAAAAACATGGGTCGATTTTCACATTGGTCTGAACAAAAACAACCCCAATACTGTGTTCCTGCAATACCGGAGGCTGCAGTTTCAGGCCCCCGCATTTCTACTAGGCCCCTTTTTTGTGACAGCACCATCTAGCCAATTCTATTCCAACAGAGAAGACCTGATTCAAACATCAAACAAACAGATGTAAAGACTAGATCCATGGAAACTATTCATTTTTCCAACTTACTTTTGATGTAAGAGCTGGCGTGAACTTGAGAGTGTGAGGCGATGTCAGCAATCTCCATTTAGCCTATTTAGGTTTTTACATTTTACATTTATTAATATACTAAATGTAAAATTTGTACCACAATTGTTTTACCGTTTACTGGACTTTAAGTGGGTCAGACATCAGACGTGAAATGCTGTGCTGCTGCTAATGAACAAGTCTCGCAAAGACACAAGTCTTTCTTTCTAAGAAAACAGAATTTAAAGCACACTGAAGACTGGAGTAATGGCTGCTGAAAATTCATCTTTACCATCACAGGAATACATTACATTTGAAAATATAATGAAATAGAAAACAGTTATTTTAAATTGTAATAATATTTAACAATATTACTTTTTTATGTATTTGTGATTAAATAAATGGAGCTTTTTTTATGGGAAGTAGTCATATTTTTTTTTTCTTCATATGATTAAGATACTGATCAAACAACCAGCTTAAAGCTGAAATGATCTCCACATCAATGGAGACAGACTGTTATGCCATTCAAGATGACAAAAATTATCCTGACACAGTCCTAAGCAGGCCAACGAATAACTGGTGTTCAATGAGACATATAGCATGCATACAACACCTGTTTTGCAGGCTAGATCTGTTCTGTACACAATCAATCATCAAAAAGTCACAACAATCGTTATGTGCATTAAAGTCTTACTGCTCCGTGAGCTCTTCTCCATGAATGTATCGCAGGCTCTTGAGGAAGGACAGAGAGCCCAGAGTGTGCGAGTGTCTGATCTTTACATATCCAGTCACTGTCTGGATCAGGCCCATGAAACTCTCCAGCTCTGATGCAATGTTAGCTGGGGAAACACAGAGAGAGAGAGAGAGAGAGAGAGAGAGAGAGAGAGGGGGACAGTGTGAGAGGAGAGACAGACAGACAGAGAGAAAGAGTTATGACACTGGAGCAACACAAACCAAATCCCACAGGACACAGTGTCTGCACTATAACTCATCACTTCATCAGTGTGAGAGATACATGGGCGGCAGCAACTGTCCCATATCAAACCACTAATAGCTTTAGCGGCTCGTACTCAAAAAATACATGAGCCCCAGGAAAATACATCAGTTAAGCAACACAATAATAAGGGTCCCCCAATGTCTGACCAAAAGTTTTCAAGACCCAAATTTCCCCAAAGTGATTTTAATTTATCTATCACATGCCAGTCATTGGAAAAATAGATTTAAACAAGCATATGTTTATTGCACATTTTTTAAATAATTAACTGGATTTTATATTGTCATTGTATTAAACCAAAACTTAAAACTAAAACAAATTTTTTCTGTAAAATATTTATCTAGCATTTTTTTTTTTTACTAAGTACTAATGTAGTAAGTACTTTCAAAAACTTAAGAAATACTAATATTTTAAGTTAACATGTAAACTTTGGAACCAATAAAAATAGTTTTTACTAAATCTTTTTCTTTTCTCTCAATTTTAGTTTTTCAAAACTCAAAGAGTATTTACCAATTACAAAATTTAACGTGGTCCAGGAAATGTTGAGTGAAAACAAAATTAAGTTTTATAATTAAAAAATATATATCTAGCAAATTTAATATTTTAGAGCAGACCACAGCAAAAAAAAATCCTATTAAAGAACTGACTAAACATTTGAATATTTTACTAATTTTCCTTTCATTCCCAGGTTGTAAATTACAATTTTAATATTCTCTGACAGGTTTTCCATGACCTTGGGAACTCTGAATAATATATTTGTATAAAAATAGGGAGAGGCACAAATATTGATGCAATGGCTCAAGCTTGGATCTGTCATTTGTCTAGAAATAAGAAAGTCCTTATCACTGGCGGTTGTGGGAGAGGAGGGTGAGAGCGAGGGTACTTACTGCCCCGCCGGATGTTGATGTGCAGGTTGCCTTTGATGACCGTGCAGCCCTGCAGGGACTGAGCAGCATCCACCGAGTCAATTGTTTTAGATTCGCAGACCTTATCGCACAGTCCGTCACATGCACTACAAAACATACTGCAGGTGGGAGAGAGGGGGAGAAGAAGGGAGAGTGAGTGTCAAGGACAGATCACAGCCACACACACAGATTCCAAACAGGCAAAGCCCGTGAACCGTGACAGGATTAGTGTGTCTCACCAAAACAAAGTATATTTAAGGCCTGTTTTTGACAAACACAAGGTCACTGCTTTATGAGGTCTAAAGCAATGAATGCAGCATAAATAACAGCTTTAGAACAATTAAGATGTTCATATGGTGTATAAGAGGATTGTAGAGCCACCATAACCTACAGAGAACAGGCAGGGCTGTTGTTTAGGACCAATTCTGTGGTAACATTTTCCATTTTAGCTTTATGGATTTATAAATGAAAGTTCAAGATGAACATGTTCATCTAATCTCGCAAATCATGTTGCTAATGTGATGATAATGTGTGGTTAGATGTCATTATCGCAAAATAAACCCCGACGGCAGTTACACAAACTAATTTCAACCAGTCAGAATGAAGTATTCCGAATGGCCATGTTTTGTTATTTTGAATCGTTCAAATGACTCTCTAAATAAGTTGGAGTGTTTACTGAATTAACTATCTGATTCACTTACTGAACCACAAGCCACTTCTGACTCGAAATGAACCAACTTGTTCTTTATTTTATGACATGTATTTAAAAATAAAAATTTGCTAAACTTTTTGGTAATGCATTTATTTTCACAATAACTTCTGTATTACAAAATGAAAAATAAAGTTTTATTTAGTATATAAGTATATATAATTTTTAGGGCTGGGTAAAAAATATCGATATCTCGATTTTAATCGGTTCTCATTTTTACGAAGCGATATCGATTCTTAAATCCCAAGAACTGATTAGTCTAGCCTGTTTTCAGTTACTGGACGGAACAGTGAAGAGCACTCCCCATCTAATATATCGCAATAAGCATTGTGCTTTGGTACTTTGAATATGAAACAAAGTCTGTCCATTGTATTGCAGTATTTAAACAATAAATGCCGTTTTGGCACTGTTTAATGTGGAGTGACAGATCGCTGTAGCGCCTCAGTTCAACAGACGTGGCAGCGCGAGGCGCACGTGAACTGATCATCTCCTCCACATTAATAACAGTTTCAGCACAAAATAAACATGACTAAACATCCGAAGGTAAGCTAAAAGAAAGAGTACAACTTTACAATCCGTATCCTGTCTCATGTAATCGCTCAAACAGTGTTTCAGCCGCGCAAAGACGTCAATATAACGGCTTGTAAACAATGTCACATAACGTCACATTTACCTAAGAAAAACATATTCGGTGACCATAAACTCATTAGTCAGATAGAAAAGTAAACTGTAGAGAGGGGCATTCTGCTAAATATATGCACCATATAACATATTCATTATAAGTTTTACTGTTCTTCAACGTTTAATTTGTTTAAATAAATCGGTCAAGTTTTTATGACAGCCACCATTTAAATGTTTATATTTCAGAAAAATGATTCAGAACAAATATTATTATGTAATTGTAACTTTATTATTATAAAAATTTCCTTAAGTGTAATTTAAGCAGTTGTATAGCCTAAAAATCTTAACATTTAAAATTTTAACCTTCAGTATTATAGTAATGTAGTACCATCTGACTCTCATGTTTATTTTACAGCATTAGTTGAGAGATTTTTTTTCCTTGAGAAAATTTGGCATGTACTGTACCTGATATATATCCCAAATAATCAAATAAATTAAATATTCGATTCGATTTAAATATAAATTAAATCGAATCGGTAATTGAATCAAATCGCAAGCTTGTGAATGAGAATTGAATTGAATCGTGAAATTTGTGTCAAAACCCAGCCCTAATTATTTTGTATGCGTAAACGATACCTTATTTTAGTGTTATATTTTTTATAATTTATTATAAATATTTAGTAATATTTTGAATTGAATTTTTTATTTTTAAATTTCATTTTTTACATTTTTAGTAATTTTATTATGTGCTTTTGTCAATTTCATTAGTTTTTTTATATTTCTGTCTAGTATTAATTTAAGCTAAATATTTAAGTTTTACTTTTAGTAATTTTAATACTTAAACTTATTTTATTTCAGTTAAAAGCCAAATTCAAAATAAGCATTTCTAATTTTCGTTTATGGTTAAGTTTAAATCTTTCATCTAAAGCCTCGTACACACCGGGCCGATTATCGTCGATGCGTCTTTTGTGTTCATACCCAAACGATTTTCATTTCTAATTTTCGTTTATGGTTAAGTTTAAATCTTTCATCTAAAGCCTCGTACACACCGGGCCGATTATCGTTGATGCGTCTTTTGTGTTCATACCCAAACGATTTTCACAGGCGATGAGCTGAGTGAACATGCAAATTCACTCCCTGACATTAGATGGCACTTAACAGAAATACCCCGGTACACATCGAATCCTATTTGATCTGCAATTCCTCTCCAGAACTCCCTCTTATCGAGATTTTTGTAGTCGCTTTCGTGTTTGTCATAAAGCCCTTTGTGTTCAGACACCAATGAGACCAGCAGCTCTACATTCATCTTGCCTCTATGCATCTTCTTGGTATACTTACTTCCTCTTTGACATTAGGTATCAATGTGTACTCGGCAAGACCGTTTTGTGCTTGAGCGCCACCAAGTCGTGTTTTACTGTAACTTCAGCAGCTCTAGGTATGTGAACAAAAGCGCCAATCTCATTGGTCGGCCAGTTTTTAACGTGGCGAGTCAAATCCAAAAAATGAGCCAGAGGCATTTTTTTTTTTTTAAAAAGACACTTTTACGCCTCGCGTTTTGCGCGTCAGTGTGCACACTCACATTGGCGCCCTTTGTTTAGTCACGAGGCGTTAAACGTCGGCGATAATCGCGTGCCATATTCGTCCCGGTGTGAACAAGCCTTAACATTTAAATATAATTTCAGCTTTATTTCAGTTAAGGAGTTTTAGTTAGCAATAACGATACTGCAAAATCATAAATAAACACTCTTGACACTGGTGTTTAATGAGGCACTCCTACATCCAGCTCAGGAGGCATACCTCTGAGTGTCATTTCGGGTGAATCCGGGAGGGCAGTCCGGCATACACTCTCCATTGTGGATGACAAAGTCGACCTCACTGGGTAGGTGAACACGGGCACACATGTCCATGGTGATGCAACGCCAACCTTCAAACTTGTACGTGCCCGGCGGGCAGGCCTCAACGCAGCGGTCCTCGTGAAAGTAATGCTGGCAGGCGGCACATGCCTTATCATTGTTTGGTTCAGTGCAGCTGCCCAGACACTGGGGGTGACAGCACTTGGGGTGAGCCTTATTCGTGCATGCCCTTTTCTCACACTTCTTTGGACACACTGGAAAAGATAAACATAAATATAGAAAAAAATGTCAGTTGCTGCTTCAAAAGAAGAGTGAGTTTTAACATACAAGGCAACATTGTAAATCAGCATGTTTTTTTCCTGAGGCTTAAAGACACAATATGTAATTTGTCGCCGCTAGAGGGCGCGTATTCAAAACAAACAAAGAAACAAAGGCGTAGTTTGATGACGCCATGACTGAGTGTGGAATCATGGGAGTTTTCGTCTTCATCCCCCACAGCCGAAGCAATCCGACGGGACTCAGGCAGAAATCATGTTCACGGATGAGTTATTAACGTAGTAGAATGAAGCAGGGTGAGGCTGAAAGCCGTCGAAGCGAAATGAGGCCGCTGAACGATCACGACACACGGCTGAAAAGCAGCGACCGCTTCCGCTCCTTCCGGTCGTGCGTATGTGGGGGAAAAAGCAGCGCTGTTTTATCATACTAGATACGTTTGAAAGCTCTGTTATAATGCTACTCTGTGCGGTCGTCACCTGTCTAATAAAATGCATTACATATTAAAGCCTCTTTGGTGTTTCCATATTTTCTACAAAACAAAACCGGAAATCGAGGGGTTATGACATCATTGGCAGGAGACACAATGACACTATGGACACGGTCCGTGTCACTAGTTAAAATTGCTTATTTCTCTGTATTTAAACATTCTTCAAAACATTTGGGATAATGTAAGTACACAAGTCAGCAAAATATATAACACTGTTCTAGTGGTTTTTGGATATTTTAATTAAAAATTTTACATATTGTGGCTTTTAAAACAGTTGCATTTGAATACTATTATAAGACTGGTTTATTTATTAAGCAATCGGCTAAGTATGAGGAATCAGAGACCATTCATGCTCCTGTGTGTCCCTGTGTGTGTTCTGGGGTAAGATGGTAGCTAATTTTAGGATCAGTTGACTGTAAAATAAAAATGTCTGAGGACGGCTATGAAGAGGGGCACAGAGGAGGAAGAAACCCTGTGTGAAGTCAGGATGCAGGTGTTTGCACAGGGCCTGGAGCTGCTGTGTGCCAGCCTTGTTAGTAAATTGCAGCTCTGGACTCACTACAGCTAAATATTATTATTGTTAGAGACTGTTGAGGGAATTTAGAGTGTAGGGAAGAGGGGGAGAGGAAGAGTAGAGCGAGAAACAAAGCCAAAAAGTCTAGCTAGCAGATGGACCGCAGTTTGGACTATTAGCTTGGGAAGCATCTAGTCAGGCCGGGCCCAACGAGAAGCCACGGTCAATCTGTGGTGGGCTTTAACTGAGCTGGAATGTGTCATGATGAGAAACACCAGCTAACAGTTACACAACAGTCCTCAGATTTGATTGGCTGTGCAGTGTGCCAAGAGTGCTGATATACAGTCCAACAGGATTTTTCACTGTTTGTATCTCTCTTGTTGTCTGTGTTTGTATATTTCAGACAGACTGTCAGTCGGTGCAATGGTGCAATTTTTAAGTGACTCTTTCTGTATGATAACATTGTCACATCAGTAGGTGGCGACAAGTGTCTTTTTAGCGAATCATCAAATTATTCACTCAACTGATTTATTCAGGACCTAAAAAAGTGTCTGTCTTAATGAGTGAGTCTTTGAATCATTCACTGAACTGAAACGCACTGATTCATTCAGGAACAAAACAAGTGGCTGTCTTAATGAGTGAATCAATGAATCATTCACAGAACCAAAACAAACAAGTTGTATCTTTATAAGCGTCATCAAATCATTAATTGAACTGAATAATTCAAACACACTGATTCAAGTATTCATGAGTGAGTTAGTGAATCCCTCACTCGGACAATTCTTTTAAAACACTGATTCATTTAGGAATGAAACACCACTTCTGTGTGATGCTTGGAGATGCAATGGTTGATTCTTTAACTTTGTTTTGAACTATTTTGGTGGAGCAAAATTAGACAAAGGATCTGGCAATATTGTGTCTAAAATGTAAATGTATTTGTTACTAACAGCATAATAATTATTTCCACTGTACTAACATATGAAACAAACAGCAATGCATAATGCCTGGGAAAGAGTGCAGATTGATTGATATTCAGAGGTATAGCACATGGCATAAACAATTTTTTTTTTACTGAAATCCTTGTAATTGTTTTGTCTACATCTAGTCTTAACATGTTCATTGTCCTTTCAAACAATGCCTTTGAACTGTAGTTTCATACAAACAAAAGGGTCTTGACAAACAAATCAGTTCCATTGTGGAAAGGTTACTGACATCATGATGTAACCCCAAATGTTCCATTATATGCCTATTTCCATGAGAGACCAGCTTCTGTTAAAAGCGTGAGAAAGTCACTTTTATGCAGTGCAAAAAAGCATGAAAAAATAGGAGCGTGTTTCAAATTAAGCTTTCAATAACAAGCCAAATAATCACTTCTTTATTAGGCATTAGGCCTACATGCAGGCAGGATGCAAAGAAACTGCCATCAAAATTTTTCTGAAGACAATCAGTCTTTTCAGAGATAAACCCATATAATATTTTAGGGGGAAAAAAAATACTCCTCGATATGCACAAATCACTTGAATGGCCTATTTCAATGTCAGAAAAGCGAATTTCGTCAAAAGGTGACGAGAATCATTCATGTTTGCAGTACAAACAAAACGTTTTTTTTAACTTTAATAATTAATTAAGGGTTTGTTCAAACCGCTAGCCTAAATCTAAAGAAATAGACATAGTGATGCTTGCCTCATGAAATAGGAACTCTGGTCCAGGAATCTGACAGCAGGTCTATAGGAAAAGCATATGTGCAGATACTGTTGAAAGTTCTGCCTGGGTGGGTTGCCGCCCGAGGTGGGACTCCAAGCGCTAACTAGGCAGCCAGCGCCATCAGCTCAACATGAGGAGGCAACTAAGCCACATGGCATGGCACTCCTGGTCGCCTAGCAACAGAATCCTGGCAGTCCACCTAGCAGGCTCAGTGGGCACAGCCAAAGAAACGTCTACATGGGATTTTTTCCTTTTTTATCTATGAGCTCACAACATACAGTACAACATTACAGGGGAAACATAACCGGTTTGTTTATTTGTGAAATGAATACGGCACATTTAGTTGATATGAGTAGGATTTCAGTAGACGGACTGATGGAGGGGATACATATCCCCTCAATCATCAACGTCCCAGCCCTGACGGATGGCCTGTGCCCAGGCTCATGACAAGAGCGGGTGGTCCAGAGGGTAGTCACAATGATAGCAGAGTCTGATGAGGTGCACCTGATGCGTCCCATCCACGCCGCTATAAATCCAGCATTGCATTGTCTCCTCGAGGTACAGCCAATGTTCCCTCTAAGCTGCGCACGTGTGTGGCCGCACACTTGTTATATGCTGCGCACAGGACACACGCAAAAATGAGTTGGGAAAGCCATTTGGTTGAATTCTAGTAAATGCTAAATAATTGGAATGCTCGGGCAAACCGCTATTAAATTGGTGTTGCTATAGAGTTAGAACCGGTGAATGCGGTTTATAGGTTTCATAGAAAGAGAATGATGTGCGCCAAATCAGTCGCTGTAGAAATTGAGTACTTTAATGGTTGCGGATGAAATAGCTTGACACATGCCAACGCAAACGTAATGACATGTGAAATAAAATGTCATCATGCTTTAGTGGCTTGATTAAGTGGTGGAAATAGCAGATGATGGGCACAGAACAGTAACAAAATTCCAAGACATTTACAGTCACACACAGGTGTAGTAGTGCGCAAACTCTACTACATGGGGATGTTTTAGATAACTGTAAAAGAATTCACATTCACGTTTTTTGAAAATATTTATTGAAAATATTTTTTGTATTATATTTTTAGATAATATAAAATGATATTATATTATATTTTATATATTATAAGCCTAATAAATAATTTACATCAAACAGGGAATTCCTGAGCAATAACAGATTCATTTTTTCAACAACAAAAAAAGCTATATTATATTATAGCTATATTATATTATATTATTATAAAGCATTGAGCTGTTCTGCGTGAGATTTTTTTTTTTTTATTATTTGTAATAGAATTTCTTGGTAAGTAACACAGCACTAAAAATTTTTTCTCATGTAACCTAAAATGTGCATCGTTTAGTTACAACTAGGATCAAATCAAATATAAATAGCACATTAAAGTTAAAAGTTACACACTTTTTGTGTGTGCGCTGTACAGGTCTGGTATAATTCATGTTTTTTGCTCAGGTGGCCGAAATGTCCGCCCAATAGAGAAAAGTTTTGCTCAGCAAGAAAAAAAGTTTGAGGGAACATTGGGTATAGCTATTATAGCGCAAAACAACCAATAAAGGTACCACAGTAGCAAAATTTTGGCTAAATTTACTGGACCAAAAAAGGTCTACTGTCTATTGTCGATAATGTAGCGATGCATGAAGCTCATACTTTCAAACCAAGCAGTTTTTGCAGGTTGGTCAACACTGCAAATTTGCATTATCAATTTGAACCCGTTTCAAAACTTGTTCTCACTTGTGCCAAACTCCCAGTTGCATGGATTCCTATTCAAATGACTGGATTTTGCTGGAAAAAATTCTCTGAACAATGGTAAATTGTTGGAGCAGTCATGGCCTAATGGTTAGAGAGTCAGACTTATAACCCAAAGGTCGCGGGTTCAAGTCTCGGTACCGGCAGGGATTGTAGGTGGGGGGAGTGAATGTACAGCGCTCTCTTCCACCCGCAATACCCTTGAGAAAGGCACTGCAGCAAAAATGGCTGCCCACTGTATGTGTTCACGTTGTGTGTGTGTTCACTACTCACTGCTGTGTGCAGTTGGGTGGGTTAAAACTCTTATAAAAGATAAGAGTCAACCACGCCTACCTAAAACGACTCGTTCTAACACGCCCCCACATGTCTACGTCAATACGTGGGAAGATTTGCATAACGCCGCCCAAATGTTCATGCAAAGAAAGAAGGTGTAACTTTAATTCTCGCTGTAGTATTGTTGTTGCCACCGCCGCCATGTCGTGGCGACGCTGTGCTTCGTTGTGAAACCG